AAACACACACACACACACACACACACACACACAGCCTAGTCTGGCTCCTGCCCATCCCAGTGGGAAAAAAAGGGGAAAGGAGGGAAAGAAAACGAAGGAAAGGAGGCTTGAACACACCTACCAAAGACCCCTCCCCTCTAAGCCACTGCCTTATGGTGCCTGTGACACTGTCCCTTTTTCCTAGGCTCCCCTTTGAGGATATGGATGCTACATTTAGATCAAAGAATCTCAAGGAACTCATAGATTCAAACTTCAAAAGGAGTCTGTGAATGGATGCCAGTGAGGAGCAAACTCCTAACCATTCGGGTGTGCCCGTCGGGTGCAGTACTAAGTATTCATTCCTTAGCATCCATCTATCTGCAACTTACAAGGAGTGAGGTGGCCACAGAAAATAGACTGAGAGAGTTCAGGACTCCTCTAGTCACACAGGGAGGAAACTGACTGAAGACCCATCTGTTCTCATCTGAACCTTGTCATTTGACTGTAAAACCTCCATGGCCAGCACACAGATCTGTACATAGCCAGCTATATACTGTCATTTGGGAGTGCCAGATAATTACCACAAGCCAGCCAACACAGGCAGGTCACCCTGTGATTGCACACGCACACGGGGGCGGGGTCTGTTCTGTAGAGACCCTTCCCAATACAGCTAAAGCTCCGTTCTGATGTCCATGCAGTGATTTTTAAAGACAGAAGGAACTTGTGCTAATCACATCTCCATTCCTTCCAAAATGTCCACATTTGACCAAGCCATTCTTTCCCGTCAGTTCCACAATGGAGCACACTTAATCAAGAGCCAAAAGCTTGTTCTACTTGAGAAAACCTACAGGCCCTTCTTTTACTGTGATTATAAAATCCCACCAGAACTCACTATTTTGCTGCCTGCTCTACTGGCAGACAACATCGGGATGAGTCAACCACAGCCTTCCTCTCTGGGCAGACGACAACGAAAGGCAAGCAACTGCTCTGTGCCGCAGGGCTACATTTGCCATGGAGCACTGCTGCACTCTAGTGTTTGCCTGAGGCCATGCACTACAATAGCAGAGCTAGTCAAAACTAATGGCCACACGTTTTCAGTGAAAACATTTTATTTTGTAAAATGTGTATTTGCATGCCCAACTGTGAAAACAGTTTTGCGGTATTCCAAAAAAAAAAAAAAAAAAAAAAAAAACCTGCCTTTATCAATTCCCAGCAACTTCAGTAACTGCAGAGGCAAAGCTGAGCTGGGATGATTAGTAGCTACCCAGTCCTCCAGAACCAGCTGAGCCTAACAGACTCCATTCCCCAGGCCTTCCAGGTCTGCTTGGAGCCTCTGCTGTGTCTTAAAGCTGTCTCCTGAAACCCCTAGGCATGATGACAGCAGCACTAGCCTGCTGCAGACCTGTGTAGGGACACAGGACCATCTACAAGGCTTCCTGGATCCTTCCCAGCATACCTGATGAGGCCCAACAGTCTTCTCTTTGAAGCATGGCTTGTATCAGTGTCCCACCCTCTTTTCCTTGAAGTACCCTTGCCCTATGTCTTACCCTCACTGTCCTTTGGCAAACTTTCACCAGCTTGACTCCTTCTGGTTCTCCATGCACCAGGCCAGCAAGGCTCTTGCATCCCACCTCTGCTCTTCAGCCACGTGGGTGATCTCTTTCCCTCAGCTCATGTACTGGTGGGAATTAACTGACCTGTATCTCAGTCAATGTACATTTCACTAAGCTTGTGTATGCCTAGCCTGGGTCATTCTGCCCTCCAGTCCTCTATAAGAACTGTAGCCTATACATCTCTGAAAAACACAGCCTAGAAGGCAAGTGACATGGCTCAGCAGATAAAGGTGATGTCACCAAGCCTGACAACTGAAGTCAGGGACCCATATGGGGGAAGGAGAGAACAGACTCTCCAAGTTGTGCTCTGACCACACGCATGCTGTGGCACAGGTGCCCACACACATGCACAGATGCATACAAATAAAACAAATGTAATTATCACACACACGTGCGTGCGTGCATGTGTGGCTTGGCCCAGTGTTGAACCTGAGTAAAACCAAGTCAAATGGTAAATGTCAGCTTACTGGAGACTGACATCTCCTCTTGGGCCATTTCACAGGAAAGTGAAGTTTCTACATCAAAGTACCAAATGTTTGTCTCTCCTGCCTCCTGATTACTGGAAACCAACAGAGAGCAGAAACTGGGGCCTCTCCTAGCCTTCCTTGAGGACACTATGTGCAGCTGGTTCTGGGGCTCCCTCACTGTGAGGCCACAGGTGTTCTTCCCCCTACATGAAATGGCCAGCAATATTGGCAATCTGCCTTACCCAGTGTTTCTCTCTCCCTCTGTGGCTGAGCTGACAACTGACACTTCAGATACAATTGAGGCAGCCCCATAGACCAACCTAAGGGGCAACACAGGGTTCTACAGCAAGTAAGACTCAGAGAGGTCAAGAGTTCCAGGCAGTTGTCAGCTGTCTGATGTGGGTGCTGGGGATGGAACTCAGGTCTCTGCAAGAGTATGTGCTCTTAGCCAGAGCCATCACTCCAACCTTGGGTTAATCTATTAAGTTATTTTTCCTTCCCCCCCCAAAAAAATCTCTGGGGGCTGCAGACTTGGCTCAGTGGTTAAGGGCACAGGCTACTCTTCCACATGGACCCAGGTTCAATTCCCAGCACCTACATGGCAACTCACAACTATAACTCCAGTTCCAAGGGATCCAACAACCCCACACAGACAGACATGTAGACAAAACACAATGCACATATAAGCCTCATGTTTTATAAACCAAACAGTCCAGCATTACCAATGGCAAGCATTTTACAAGTGACAAAGTCAAGAGCTGTGAAGCATATCAAGGTTGCAAAGCTAGCAGGAGCTGACATTATTATTACAAATAAAAATTGGGATAAGATGGTATATTCTGAATTTTGAAAATATAATATCCAAAAATGAAGATGATGGGCATACAAATAATCATATGCCTCTGGCTCTTGGGCTAGGACTCCTTAATTTTTTCCATGCCGTACAATCACTGTGCTGGATCATGAGCGACACATTCCAGGAGACCTGAATCACTGACCACAGAGATGGACAGGCACATGCTCACCTGCCGGAGGTTGATGTACACAGCATTCTGCAGAAACTCCGAAGCTTCCATGCCACGCTTCTGAATAGCCAGGACACGCACGGCCTTGACACATGCTTCCAGCTCAATCACCCCGGCATTCTTATACTGGGGGTATAAAGTAAATACATCCATCAGTAAAAAGCAAGGATATTTCCAGCTTTAGGAAGCTGCCACTGAGACTCCAGATATCCCCAGCAGCACTTCCCCATGCATAAATCCCCTGGTATCCTCTGGGGAAAGCTCTTTCTGAGTCTGTCTTAATGGGTACAAGTTGGAATAAACCTATGACCATCTAAGTGTGTTGTGCTGATTAAAATCATACAACCACAATGCTTGTTATATTACAGGCTTCTGGAGGGGGAAGGAGGGAAGTCAGGCAGGCTGAGGTCCCCTCAAGACCAGAAGTGATTAGCATTTAGAGGAGTTTGGGTTTGGGGATTTGGATTTTTAGGTTAGGAATGCTCAGCCCATATAATGGATGGATGCTTTGCCATTTTTTATTAAATGTTGTTCTCACACCTGCAGCTTCAGGGCAGCTATTGGGCATGTGTTGCCTTTTGCAGGAGACATCTGGGTTGTGCTCAGTTCTGCTGATCTTGTCTCAGAGCCACCTGTACCCACACCTCAGGCATTGGAACAGAACAGGTTCTGTGGGGCTCATCTGAACTACTGCTACTTATAGAAGTGGTTCTCAACCTGTGGGTCACAAGCCCCCAGGAATCACATATCAGATATCCTGCATATCAGGTATTTTTACATTACAATTCATAACAGTAGCATAATTGCAGTCATGAAGTAGCAATGAAAATAATTTTATGGTTGGTGGGGTCACCAAAACATGAGGAACTGTGTGAAAGGGTCACAGCATTAGGAATGTTGAGAACCACTGACCTAAAGTGAAATGTTGCTCCCTTAGGACAGAGAAAGGATTCAGCACCATGGACAGCCCTCAAGCACCTTAGGTGCACCCTGAGACTAGGCAGCAAACTGCAGCCATACAGTGTTCATGTCCAGAAGCATCTTAGAACTTATTCTCAAGCTACAGGTATAAGCAAAACAGATCTGGGATGCATGAGTGTGCACAGAGGAAATGAGTAATGACAAACATGCACCAATGACTGCCTGGACATAGGGACCAAATGAGCACAGTTCACTGTCCTACTGTCCGTGCACACTTGATGATGGCCAAGTTACACACATGTGACACTGATGGGGACAGGTGATGTGAGTCTATTTACTTGTACCTACAGAAAAATGTAAGGTGGGGCTGGAGAAATGGCTCAGAGATTAAGAGCACTGGCTGCTCTTCCAGAGGTCCTGAGATCAATTCCCAGCAACCACATGGTGGCTCACAACCATCTATAATGAGATTCAGGATTCCAGGAAAGAAGCTGTTCACAGAGCAGACTAGCCCATGGGTGAGTATTGAATCAAAACCAAGCACTGGACCAACCCTAATTAATCAGGGGTCTGGGTAGCATGGGAAAGAGGCAGGCTCCTTCATCAGAGGAGGTAAGAGATGAAAAGAAAAAAGGTTGAGGGAAACACAGAAATAAAAATGTGACTCAAGAAAAGCAAGACATGAATTTCCCCCTTCCACCTGCATTACATACATATGAGGAGCAGGCTTTGCCCACATGCCATGTAGAATACTGAACCCAGGAAGAGGAGGCAATAACCAATGTTTTATTGAGCAGTACTAATGAGCCTGCTGTTGTGCCCACCGTTTCTATATGTAAAAATCATTGGCCCTGATTAAGCATTCTACAAAGCAGAGAGATGAGAAAACAGCATCTGAGGCTATAGACCTATACAGAGTCAGATGGTTAGAGACAGCAGAGGGGAACTCTGTCTACATCCTACTGTCTGACTGCTGTCTACTCTGCACAGTGGGGACAGGGCCATTCTGGGGACAGAGCCACCTGACTCCTCTGCTGTGTCAGGCAGACCAGTCTCCCCCAGAGGCTAAATTCCAATGTTCACTAATATGGTACACTAGGTGGCCACTGAAGCCCTAGCCTGACTGGTGAGGAACCATCCACCTGAAGACACAAGTGTGGCCCACAATGGCAAGAGGATAGGTCTCAAGTGTGTACAGTTGGAACCCTATTTCTCCAGGCCCACACCACCTCCCTACAGTTATATAACAATTCATTTTGGTGTTCTTGAAGACTATTTTTCTAAACTAGACATGAAAGGGCTCTGAAAGGGGGGCTTATTTTGACTTTTTTTTTTAATGGCTAGCTTTAAAATGAATATTAAAAAGTCAATCTGGGGCCAGCAAAATGGCTCAGCAAGTAAAAAACACTTGTCACAAAGACTGACAACCTGAGTTCCTGAGTTAATTCCTTGAACTGACAGGATGGAAGAGGAAAATCAATACCACAAGTGTACTCCAGCCTCCAGATATGTGCACACACAAGCACTAAATAAACAAATGTAATATTTTAAAAGAGAAAACTATGTCTCGTTTGTTTTGTTTTGTTGAGACAGGATTTCTTTGTGTAGCCTTGGCTCTCCTGGAACTTCCTCTGTAGACCCAGACTGGCATCGAACTCACAAGGATAGGCCTGCCTCTGTCTCCCGACATGCACCACCACTGCCTGGTTTAGCAAACTACATTTCTATCCAACAGCTTAAACAGATGGAATGGCAAGAAATTCCACTTGTAAAATAAGCAAAGAGACACACAATAGTTTGGAATACAAAGAAACATCCAAACTGTTGTATTCTATACAGAAAAAAACTCACACACTATACAGAGAGGCCAGAATGCCCATGTAGAAATGCAGAACCCCTGGCACCTCCTACAGAGGCTACAGCACTGTGAGGAGGAAGTTCTCCCCAGAATAAGCAGCTCACTGTATATTCCACCAAACACCAACTTGATGTTACATCAAATCATGTATTTTAGAGTTGCTTAAGAATAATAACCCCATCATCCCAACCAGAAAGAAGATTTCACAAGGCAGGCTGGGGAGGGCTCAGTGCAGTCTGGAGAGGGCTCAGTGCAGGCTGGAGAGGGCTCAGTGCAGGCTGGGGAGGGCTCAGTGCAGGCTGGAGACAAATCACAGTGATCCCAAGACAGTGGGTGTCAACTAGGAGCCGCCGTGACCAGTTCCCTCAGAACAACTGTCTATGACAGTTCCATCACATCTCACAAGGCCTCACCACAGGATTCTCCAGTCCAAGGTGAGAGAGCATCTGCCATCCATAATGTACTGCCAGTTGAATATGGCAGGCTGCAGTGCACAGAGATGGCTTGAAACACACAAAAAATGTATCTCCCACAGGCAAAAAAGTCAAGAGAGATGGATGGCAAAGTCACAGCCTTGAGAGAAGGGTAGAGAAAGAGGGCTGTTGTTTGTTCTCTTTATACCACTCCTCTGTATAGCTTCAGTTTTCTTTTTCAAGTTTTGCTAACAATACGTGGGTTTTCAAAAAATAACAGGGTTGGAGCCAGACAGTGGTAGCACACAGAAGAGGCAGTAGAATCTCTATGAGTTCAAGGCTAGTATGTTCTATACAGTGAGTTCCAGGACAACCAGAGCTACACAGAGAAATCCTGTCTCAAAAAAAAAAAAATTGATAATAGTGTTGGACTAGAGCTCAGTGTTAGGGGAAGGGTCTAGATTCAATCCCTAGCACCTCAAAATAAGTAAATAAATAAGTCAAAAAGTGAGCTGCAGGTATTCAAAGTCTTGACATGGGAGGTGTTAGAGCACAGAGAACAGGCACCATGCCAGAGAAGAAGGAAGTTCACCTTGAAGTAAAGTCTGTATGCCGTTTTTATAAAATGATCACTTACATTGTGTGCTGGCTAGTTTTATGTCAACTTGACGCAAGACAGAGTCATCTGAGAGGAAGGAATCTAGATTTGAGAAAATTCCTCCAAAAGATCGGGCTGCAAGAGGTTGGGGATTTAGCTCAATGATAGAGCACTTGCCTAGCAAGCACAAGGCCCTCAGCTCCAAGAGGAAAAAAAAAAAAAAGATCAGATTTCAGGCAAGTACATAGCACAGTTTCTTAATTTGTGATTGATGGGGGAGGGCCCAGCCATCAGATGGGTGATGTCATCTCTGGGCTGGAAGCCCTGGGTTCTATAAGAAAACAGACCACACAAGCCATGTGGAGCAAGTCAGTAAACAGCACCCCTCTATGGGCTCTGTATCAGCTCCTGCCTCTGGGTTCCTGCCCTATTTGAGTTCCTGTCCTGACTTCCTTCAATGATGTGGAAGTGTAGACAAAATAAACCCTTTTCTCCCCAAGTTGTTTTTAGTCTTGGTGTTTCATCACAACAGTAACCCTAACTAAGACACATTGATTTTTCAGAAGTCCAGAAAGCTGATATAGTAATATCAATAATGATTATCCCTGAATGGGTTATGACAATCTTTTTCCAAACTAATATTAAATATATACTATTTGTAATCAGAAAAAATAAACATTTTAGGCATGTAGCACTATGCACTAAAGAATAATACAATATTTACAAAAGCAAGTAAGAAAAACAGGTTGGTGAGATAGCTCAGAGGGTAAAGCACTTGTGTCATGCCTGATAATCTGAGTTTCATCACCAAGACCCACACAGTGGAGGAAAAGAACCATCCCTCTATGCTGTTCTCTGGCCTCCACAGATGCATCATGGCACACACACACATGAATAGCATCAACAAGACTGACCCATAATCTACAGTGGATGTGTTTTTTAAAGATACTGCAACATGACATAATGTCAACAGGGAACTTTCTGATTGGAAAGACACAATGGTACAAACACTGTACAAAGCCATCAATTCACCTTGCTGTAATAGGAAATGGCCTCTTTGTATTTGTCAATTATGTCCTCGGGGCTGAGGCAGTTCTTGGCACGTCCAATCTCAGCACTGGTGTCAGGATTTATGCCATTGGTGGTGAGAGCACCTGTAGACAGAGAAAGAGAAAACAGTCTTTTGCTTCTTCCTTCTTATCCCCCCATCACTTTAAGGAGGAGTGTGTGGGAAATAAGCCCTGAGTGCATACCACTCAAGTCTAAAGCCCGTTCAGTCTTCAGATTATCCTCGGGCTGTAGCAGTCTCCACTCAACAACATTATATTCAGTGTTAACTACCTCCGATGAGCTACCCTCTCTGTGAAGATTTTCCATTAAAGAACATGAAATGCTTTACATAAAAGTAGCATATGGACAATGGCCCTGGGACCACACTGAAGCCTCAAAGGAGAGAAAATGTATGAGCCACTTCCTGAGCTGTATAGCAGCCAAGAAAATTACTTAAAAGTGCTAGTCGCCTCTCCATGGCTGTCATTTTCTATTTCTGACCAACCCTCACCACCAAACTCACACAGGGAAAGAGCTGTGGAGAACTCCCATCTTCAGAACGAAGAAACTACAAAGATAACTCCAAATGGGAGAAGAAAAGATGGACCTCTCTTTGATGTCAGAGAACACTTAAAAACTACCTGATTTAAACCTTGGTGGCTGAGCTTCTCCTAAGTCACATGTTTATCTTACAGATAAGGTCATCTCCCAGAAATCCCACTGCCCCTACTTTCAGCTCAGGGCCCGGTGTTTGTAACTGCAGAGGGCCAGGATGCACTTTGCACACAGCCACAAGCACCACAAAAGTGCATGCGGTACCCAGGTTCTCTCATCCAGAGCCAGTTTTCTCAATGGCTGGCCATCACTCTCTAATTCTGTAAAGAGCCTCATGGGGTTTTTGCTTTTTGTTTTTGTAACAAGACAGAAGAATAATGAGTAGATAGAGATGAGAGGAAAGATGGACTTGTGATGAAAAGATGAAGAGTTAAGCTAGGAGACTGCAAAATGGGGAGAAGAAAGAGCATCTTGTGTAAAATCCTCTTGCAATAAAAAGAAAGAATACTTTAGGAGAGAGCCATGAGGAAGTGGGAGGAAGAAAACATCTCAAACCTGTCCTTTGTAAGAACTAGATTCAAATCCGTAAGGACCAGGGTCACAAGACTTGGGCATTCACAGGCCCAGGTATCCCTTAGAGCAGAGCTCAAGAAAACAGCCATCTTACCTGGGGTAAGCACACCTGCTGTCGAGCTAGAGGAAGCCAGCACCTGCACCACCTCTACCACCTGCACCACCTCTACCACCCGCACCACCTGCACCAAAGACCTCTCCACATGCTCTCTTCTGCAACCACAGCAGCTGTAGGAGAGGAGCACTGAGCTGGATTTTCTCTGCAGGTAGAGCAGGGCCTGGAGGAGCGAGGGCTCTCCCAGTTCTCAAGATGATGGAGTCACTGACTCTAAGGCTGTGCCTAGGGACCAGCACTGACCATAGTGCTCTGTCCTCGGTTCTATGTGCCTATCATTTTTGTGTCACATGTCGTGCACAAATTAGTATTTAATACATGAGCAGGAGTCTTGAAGTATCTTATTGGCACTAACAAATTATCATCCAATTCCTGAGTCTTATTCCCCTGGAATAAAGAAGCATGGGGAAAGGGAGGAAAAGGCTTTCATTGTTCACACAAAGCTATATCTCTTCTCTAGCCCAGGAAAAATCCCCAGATACTCTTTCCCTTTGTAAGAAAGGAAGGCATGAGTGGCCCTGTTCCCTGAGTAGATGGCTTCATTTAGTACAAGGCTGGAGGATACATCTCATATGAAGCAACCAAAAACCAAACCATCTATAAGGAACCAGAGCCTAGTTCTGCAAAGAGTCTTCTTAGTGGTCTAACCTGATTTCATTTCACTTGATAAATGAATAACTAAAAATACTCACACATAGCAGAACTGATCTTTCCTGTCATCATTTTCGACAGCCCACACCAAAAATGATTGTAAGTCAGTGAGACCCAGGCCTCAGGACCCAAACCTCTAGTTGACAGGTAGAAACCCAGGCTGGAGGAAATGCACAGTGTGTGAGAGGTGACATGTGACATGTGTCAGTCAGGGAGCACTTGAATTATTCG